AGAGTCGGCACCTTTAATTGTTGTAGATAATTTTCCATTTGAAGGAAATTTTGATGACATCAATCCTAATGATGTCGAATCCGTAACGCTTCTTAAGGATGCAGCAGCAGCTTCTATCTGGGGCGCCAGAGCTGGGAACGGTGTGATTGTAATCACGACAAAGAAGGGTTCAACAAGCAAGCCAAAGATCAATCTCGTTTCAAACCTTTCATTCGTATCAAGAACCGATCTTTCAAGTTTAAATACGATCACCAGCGCAGATTATATCGAACTTGAAAAGCTTTTGTTTTCGAAGGGCTATTATTCTGGTGATGAGGCTTCAATAGCCAATACCCCTCTTACACCTGTTGTTGAATTGTTAATTGCAAAAAGAGAGGGTAAAATTGATCCGACAATTGCGGATCGTCAAATCGAAGCCTTTAAAAATTATGATTCCAATACTGAGATCGAAAGAAATCTATACCGGTCAGCTATTAATCAACAATATCAGATGAATATCAGCGGACAGACCCCCAATTTAAACTATTATTTTTCTGCCGGTATGGATGAAAGTCCAGGAACGTTGGTCGGTAACAAGGGAGACAATCGGATTTCCATCCGCTCAAGTAACAATTTTCTGATTACACCGAAGTTTTCTTTTGAAGCGGGTTTAAATTATGTACAAAGCCTTACTAATAGAGGAAACAATCCAGGGTACTTGTTGAGTTCCGGAGGAAATAAATCACTCTATCCATATGCCAGATTAGCCGATGAGGCAGGTAATCCGCTTAACATAGTCCAAAATTATCGTACGTCTTTTGTCGATGCAGCGATGCAAAAAGGATTATTGGATTGGACTTATTCGCCTTTAGGTGATATGTCTTCTAGGCAAGCTGAAAATGCATCGAAAAATTTGTTGTCAAAAACAGCACTTAGATATAAAATTGTTCAAGGGATGAATGCAGAGGTTATTTACCAATATCAAAGCATATCAGGTAGGAATGAAACGAACAACAATATTGACTCCTATTTTACCAGAAACCAGATCAACAGGTTCACACAAGTTGCTACTGGAACTAATGTCATCACCAGGCCAATTCCTTTAGGTGATATTCGTAGATTAGACCATAGTCTTTCAATCAGCCATCAGGGAAGGGGCCAACTCAACTATCAAAAAGATTTTGGCAAGCATCGGGTTTCAACTCTTGTTGGAATTGAAATTCGTGAACTAAAAAGTACCACTGAGGGTGATCTCTATTATGGCTACAATAGTATTAGCAATTCAACAGCCACAAGCCTGGATTATACGAGGCAATTTCCGCAGTATAATAAT